TATACCCCCCCCCTTATGTATTATACATGGAGATCATATCCCCCCTTATGTATTATACATGGAGATCATATCCCCCTTATGTATTATACATGGAGATCATATCCCCCCCCCCCTTATGTATTATACATGGAGATCATACCCCCATCCCCCCCTTATGTATTATACATGGAGATCATATCCCCCCCTTATGTATTATACATGGATGATCATATCCCCCTTATGTATTATACATGGAGATCATAGCCCCCCCCCTTATGTATTATACATGGAGATCATATCCCCCCCCTTATGTATTATACATGGAGATCATATCCCCCCCTTATGTATTATACATGGTGATCATATCCCCCCCTTATGTATTATACATGGAGATCATAACCCCCCTTATGTATTATACATGGAGATCATATCCCCCTTATATTATTATACATGGAGATCATAATCCCCCCTTATGTATTATACATGGGAGATCATATCCCCCCTTATGTATTATACATGGAGATCATATCCCCCCTTATGTATTATACATGGAGATCATATCCCCCCTTATATATTATACATGGATATCATATCCCCCTTAATGTATTATACATGGAGACTCATATCCGTTCCTCTAATGTAATTATACATTGGAGATCATATCCCCCCTTAATCTTCTCTTCTCAAGAGAGAATAAATTTCAGTTCCTCTAATCTTTCCTCATAGCTGATCTCCTCCATGCCTCTTATCAGTTTGGTTGCCCTTCTCTGTACTTTCTCCAGTTCCCCAATGTTCTTTTTGTGAATTGGTGCCCAAAACTGAACTGCATATTCCAGATGAGGTCTCACTAATGATTTGTAAACCACCGGGGGAAATGATATCTCTCTCTCTGGAGTCTATACCTCTCCTAATACAAGAGAGATTTTGCTTGCTTTAGAAAACTGCAGCTTGGCATTGCATGCCATTATTTAAGCTTGTGATCTACCAGAACCCCCAGATCCTTCTCCACCATTGACCCCCTCAGATCCTCCTCCACCATTGAACCCCCCCCCCCCATATCCTTCTCCACCATTGACCCCCCCCCCAGATCCTTCTCCACACCATTGACCCCCAGATCCTTCTCCACCATTGATTCCCCCAGTTGTACCCCCCCAGTATGTATGATGCATGCATATTCTTAGCCCCCAAGTGCAGAACCTTACATTTATCAACATTAAACCTCATTGTCCCCATAGCCCCCAATTACACAGAGCATTGAGGTCGGCTTGTAAGTTGGAGACATCCTGTAAGGACGTTATTCCACGGCACAGCTTGGGTTTATCTGCAAAGACTGAAATGGATTTATAATCTCAGACCCTAATATTGTTTATAAATATATTAAAAAGTAAGGGGGTCCCAACATTGAACCTTGGGTACCCCACTGACAACCCAAGACCGTTCAGAGTATGAATCATCTCCTGCTGCATATCTACACTGACATGGATGGGGTAATGTGGTTTAGGAATGTAAGGATGCCCCATCGTTTGATGGAAATGAAACATATCAAACTACAGAGGACTGAATTCAAAGACACCCTTAAAAATAAAGTGAAAAAAATTATGCAGCAGAGAGTCCATTTTGCTGAAATGCCATTGCAGCAACTCAGAATGGTCTTCAGTTTGTATGGCCCCCACGTGCTTGTGTGCATGCCTGAGAACGTCGAGGGAGGCTTCTAATGAGACGACAGATGGTGTCCTGGGTATTTCCTCCCAGATCTGGACCAGGGCATCACTGAGCTCCTGGACAGTCTGAGGTGCAGCCTGGCGGCCGAAACATGATGTCCCAGAGGTGTTCTATTGGATTTAGGTCAGTGTGGGGGCCATTCAATGTATCAATTCCTTCATCCTCCAGGAACTGCCTGCATACTCTCTCCACATGAGGCCGGGCATTGTCATGCACCAGGAGGAACCCACGGACCCACTGCACCAGAGGAACCCAGGACCCACTGCACCAGGAGGAACCCAGGACTCACTGCACCAGGAGGAACCCAGGACCCCCTGCACCAGCGTAGGGTATGACAATGGGTCCAAGGATTTCATCCCGATACCCAATGGCAGTCAGGGTGCCATTGTCTAGCCTGTAGAGGTCTGTGTGTCCCTCCATGGATATGCCTCCCCACCACCAAAACGGTCATGCTGAACGATGTTACAGGCAGCAGAACGTTCTCCACGGCTTCTCCAGACCCTTTCACGTCTATCACATGTACTCAGGGTGAACCTGCTCTCATCTGTGAAAAGCACAGGGTGCCAGTGGTGGACCTGCCAATTCTGGTGTTTAATGGCAAATGCCAATCCAGCTCTATGGTGCTAGGCAGTGAGCACATGGGCCCACTAGAGGACGTCGGGCCCTCAGGCCACCCTCATGAAGTCTGTTTCCGATTGTTTGGTCAGAGACATTCCCACCAGTGGCCTGTTGGAGGTCATTTTGTAGGGCTCTGGCAGTGTTCACCCTTTCCTCCTGAGACTGACAGGAACACCAGGGATTTCACATAAAGGAAGCATTACAAAGAGAACAGGATACTGTTTAACACAAGTCCATGGTACTACAGACACATATCAGGAATATGAAATGTTGGGTAACATAGTCATTAACCTCTTCACGCCAGCTGCACACAAATGTGCGGCCTCCCGGCGTCTGGGCCTAGACGCTGAGCGCTCGCACATTTGTGCTGAAGCGCAAGCCCTGCACACTCCCAGCACACATGTCCGGTACTCACGGAAAGGTCCCGATCTCCTCTTTCGATCGGGACCTTTCCCGATCATGTGACCGCCATGACGGCGGTCACATGACCCTAAAACCCCACCCCGCCTCCTGGCTTCTGAAACCCTTAAAGGGCCGCGAGGGTGCCGACGCCAAGGGGTTAAGTTTAAATTTAACAGATAAATATAAATATTAGATGTAAAATCTGAATCCTTCAATCCATTACAATCATATTCAAGGGAGCCCTGTTGATCAGACAGGACAGGTTTCTTTGAGGATAGAATCAGCATTTTTTTGTAATTTCAAATATTTTTTGGACTGGTGCCACGCACGCTTGATATTACAAACTGCAACCAGAATTACAAATGAGTTATTTTCAGTAAAAAGCTTTTTGCATCTACTAATTGAATGTAAAATAAAATAAATTAAATGAAACATTTTCAGATTTATCAGATCATTTCCCTTCTGATCAGGTCACCAAACAAATATCAAATGAATCGAAATATTGAAAGTGATTGATGGAATTGAAATATACAGTATATATCAAAGGATAATGTAGGCACTACCCAAAGGACTTACATAGATGAACAAGGAGGATGATAACGTAAAGGTACTATGTCGTATTCAACTCATTCATCTCAAGTGGATGGTGGAACAATTCAATTGAAATATGTGCCTGCATTTAAACACTGGAGAAAAGAGGTACTGCCATAATAATGAATGCAAATATACATATATATATACATATATATATATATACTGCTCAAAAAATTAGAAGAACACTTTTTGACCAGAGTATAGCATCAAGTCAAATAAATTCCTGGAATATGGATCTGGTCAGGTAAGTAGCAGAGGGGGTTGTTAATCGGTTTCAGCTGCTTTGGTGTTAATAAAATGAACAACAGGTGTACTAGATGGGCAACAATGAGACGACCCTCAAAGCAGGAATGGTTTTACAGGTGGAGGCCACTGACATTTTTTTCTCTACCATCTTTTCTGACTAGTTTTGCATTTGGCTAGGGTCAGTGTCACTACTGGTAGCAGGAGGCGATACCTGGGCCCTACAGAGGTTGCACAGGCAGTGCAACTCCTCCATTGTCAGAAGGTTGGCTGTGTTTCCCAGCACAGTCCCAAGAGCATGGAGGAGATTCCAGGAGACAGGCAGTTACTCTAGGAGAGCTGGACAGGGCCATAGAAGGTCCCCTAACCTATCAGCAGGACCAGTATCTGCTCCTTTGCGGAAAGAGGAACAGGATGAGCACTGCCAGAGCCCTACAAAATGACCTCCAGTAGGCCACTGGTGTGAATGTATCTGAGGGCCCGACGTCCTCTAGTGGGCCCTGTGCTCACTGTCCAGCACCATAGAGCTCCACCAGAATTGGCAGGTCCACCAGGTACTGTTCTTGGTCTACCTGACCTTGACTTGGTATCAAGAGATCCCCGAACTTTCCACTTCTTAATAGGTGATTTACCAGTTCTGATTGGCATATTCAAGGCTTTGGACATATTTTTATGTCTTTTTCCATCTTTATAAAGTTCCATTACCTTGTTACGCAGGACCTTTGCCAGTTCTTTTCTGATCTCCATGGCTCAGTATCTAGCCTAGTCAGTGCTTCCACATAAGAGCTAACAAACTCATTGACTATTTATACATTGACACTAATTGCAATTTAAAAAGCCACAGATGTGGGACATTAACCTCTAACTGGCATTTTAACCCGAGTGTGTCACCTTGTGTGTCTGTACCAAGGTCAAACATTCCAGGGGATGGAAACTTTTGATCTGGGCCATTTGGGTGATTTCTGTTATCATTATGATTTATAAAGGAGTCAAACAACTATTTGATAATAAATGGTTTCATATGATCATCATCCTGCAATAAAAGAGCATTTTTTTGGCATGATCAGTCATATTTTCAATATCAATGCCAACATTTCACAATTTCTGCCAGGGTATGCAAACTTTTGAGCACAACTGTATATATATATATATATATATATATATATATTATATATATATATATATATCATAAAATATTGTAGGCACTACTCAAAGGCCTTCCATAGATGAACAAGGAAGATGATATTGTTAAGGTATTAAGTTATTCTCCTTGTTGATCCATGGAAGGCCTTTGGGTAATGCTTACAATATCAAATTGCTACAGTATCCATCTCATATAGAGCACCAAGCTATTTGTCTTGGATGGAGTGCAAATACCGCTTTCCTATAGATATATACGTACGTATATCGATATTCACACATTTCAGTCTGTGGATAGTTACCAATCACAGCGTATCCCCCAGGTAAAATCTTATATACAATTCCATCAAACAGAATTCCATTGGGAAAAGGAAAGCCATCAACTCCCCGACAATTCTTCCAAAAGCAGCACCTAGTTAGGAGTAATACAGACAAAGTCAATGGATGTCCCATTTATCAGAACATTGTTAGATACAAGAGCCTAATGGCCATTTTATAAGATAAAACATTAACAAAAATTAGCATCAATCAATCATCTGGCTGGAACTAAATCACAAAAAGCATGCAGATATGGACAAGAGGAGCTGCTCCCTCCAAACATCTGCATGAAATTGGCCTTGACCTTGGATAAAATTGTTGCCAAGTGTGTGAGTTGCAATATGTCAGAAACTGCTAAAGAATGGAATATTGATGAAGATGGGCTACAGCAGCAGACAGATACATGGGACTAGAGTAGGTACAGGATCACAAAAACTGAAAACTCCATTTTGCTGAAGTGTGTGATCGGTGCAAGATGGATTCTGATTGGCTGGTAGAGTTATTGCACTTTGCACTGGTTTACACTAGTGGTAGCCCTTTGAAGTACAATCTGCAGTGGATTGCTTTTCAGAGGAAGCTTGGCATGCAGTGAGGCGTTACCTCCTTACTGACTATTTTAAGTCCTAGAAGCCCACACCACTTCACTACAATCAGATGCATAGCACACTGTTGTCTCACAGCCCTTTTTTTTATTTCAATGGGTTGCATTTGGCAGGTGGTGTACCCCACAAAACGGGGGGGGGGGGGGATTTCTTTATGGATACCCCTAAGCCCATTACCTCTTAGACAGGTGGTAAAAATGCAGCTCAACCCCCTGTTTATTTCGGAAACCCCAGCTGCTTGTGTAAACTTGGCCTTAGCACTTTGCTCATTGCACTTTGGTAATAAATGAGTCTCACTGATTACACACTGAGAGGTCAGACAGTAGAACAGGGAACTTGCAATGTGATTTTTTCCTTGTACTATACACTGTATTTGCGCTTTCATAATGCAGAGGCATAAAAACTACAAAACACTCAAGAGGTTTGTTTTATTCCTTGTATCTTCTGCTTACCAAGAACAAAACACTGGCATAAAAGCCCGCAGGGTATGGGCATTGTAGTCGCAACGACAGACATCAGAAACTGGAAAAAAAAACACCATTGGATTATTGTTCTTAAAGCCTTTCAGTTTAAATCATCTAAAGATATTTCAGATGCATCAAAACAAAAGTTTTACTATTGCTTTCTTTAGCCTGAGTAGAAAAGGCTGACCCCTGCCACCATGTTCTAGAGAAGGACCCTTGCTCTATGTGTCTCTCTGCAGATGTCTGACACGTTCCCTGCTAAGTCATCGCTAGAGTTCTTCAAACACTAGGGAGCATGTAAAACTCTAGCTCTGACTCAACAGGGGATGTAGCCGACCTGTGCAGAGAGACTACTGTTTCCACACAGAGAGCAAGGGTCCTTCAAGTGGAGGGACAGAGCCAGTGTGCTGCATATTTGCTTTTGTAGTACTGAATTGTTCTTCAAGTTGTAAATTCTTACAGTTTGTAATTGTTCGTGAGCTGTACATGAATGTAGTCACCAAGTCTTTTGTTTTTGGTACCTGGGCTTTGTACTCAACTACTGTCAGGGTCAAGATCTGAACCCAGGACCTCTGCTGTGTCTGGCAGTAATTCCTCTTGCTGTGCCACCTGAGATGCTGTACACCTCTTTCTCTGATCCATTAGACCAGTGTTTCTCAACTCCAGTCCTCATGGACCCCCAACAGGTCATGTTTTCTGGATTTCCCTCAGATGAAACAGCTGTGGTAATTACTAAGGCAGTGAAACTGATCAAATCACCTGTGCAAAATAATGGAAATCCTGAAAACATGACCTGTTGGGGGTCCATGAGGACTGGAGTTGAGAAACACTGCATTAGACAATCGTGCCTTGTACCTTGTTTCTCATGAACCTTGAAGCCTTTGCTCCTCCAATAAACTTCCTATTCAAGCCATCTCTTTGCACTATCTGTTTGCCAGATTACTGTGCTCTCTCTTCAGCCAATGTCTTGCTCTTGTCACTCCTGCTGCCGTCCATATCTTTGCTACCACTCATTACCGACTTTGGCTTGTTCCTCAATAGCTTCCGCTTGATACCAACCTGTAACCATTTCTTACCAACCTTGGCTTGATCCTCAACTACACTTCTGCTTGATCCCAACCTGCAACCACTTGTTACTGACCTTTGACTTGTTTACTGATTATGTTTCTGCTTGATCCCTTCCTGCTATATCTGCAACTGGACCCTGGCTTGCTCACCACCTGGTGAGGCGATCCTGAGGACCTCAACCTGGTACTAGCACACAGCAAAACCCATCTCCACCATCAGGAGCTCTCGTGAACACAGGCTAGTGTTTAGACCTCGAACCTTGGGTGAGCCCGCCTCATCTGCCAGTGTGATCTGTTCATGTATTTATCCTGCTGGTCGGTGGGAGCCTTTCTACTGCTGTTGCTACTGGTCTCAAAGCCCAACCCTGTACTGTGACAACTACACTCTCAGTAAACATAATTTTGATTAATTTAGTAAGTGTCTCTTAGTCCTCATTCTAGTACTGAGCAGGGGCGGACTGACCATTCGGACACTCGAGCACTGCCCGAGGGCCTGGGGTCAGTAGGGGGCCCCATGAGATACCCCTGGTACCTTTCATAGGCTTTTTTGGGAGTGGTTTGAGTGTGGGTGAGGACACAGGGGTCCCATGATCCCCTATTGTCCAGGGGCCTCATGAGTTGCCAGTCCACCCCTGGTACTGAGTATCTGTCCAAATAAATGTAGCTATACATACTGTACATAATTGCACAGCCCCTGTGCAGTCTCCTTTAGAGATTTACCAAAGCCATGTAATGTGAGGACCTACCTAATCAAACCATTTAATCTGGAACTATACAAGCAAGCCCTGGCTCTAAATTGTTGTCGATGAATCTATCTAATCTAATCTAAGTCAAGCCTTGCCATAATCCTAAATCACATGAGTGACCATGTGATGTGTCTATGAAGGTGCTCATTTTTTAAGGTCATGGTATATCTAGTAGTAGTTGGTCAAATTCAACTGGACTTGTTCTGCAATGTCAAAAACACTTAATAACTTCTCCAAACCACTTATTCGGTCCTAATGAGTGTCAGGAAGCCCCCCAACATTTATATCCACACAGGAATCACAGTCACCGTTATCCTATCACCATGGAACATCTCTACTCTGATTTGACAACAATTTACACCAACCTTTCTTAACCTTTTTACCCCAAAAACACTGAAATAAATTGCAGCTCTATAGGAACCCCTGAAAAACTAACTGGGGCTGGTGGGAAGAATTCCTCTTACTTTGGTGATCAGAATGCTACCCCTAGAGACACCTAAAGAGATTATTGGGGTTATACTGCTGGATTTTTAAAGTGGTGAAGACCCCATCATTTTGAAGGCACCATCAAATGGGAGGTAAACAGCCACAGCTCAAGGAACCTCTGAAGGAACCCTAGGTTTCCACAAAACCCTGGTTGAGGATGGCTGATTTACACATTCAGCCATGTAAATTAAGGAATTAACATCTATGGAGACTTTCTGGCACCAAGGATGGGATGATATAGCTAGATTTAGGGGGGTTCACAACTTTCGCACCTTCTATCCTGTTCTTGGACAGCCAACATCTGTCTTGACATGAATTTAAAAGTTGGGGTGTATTCCAGACACTCATTAGAACTAAAAGAGTGGCTTGAGTAAGCTACGAAACATCTTCAATATTAAAAACAAGTCCATTTAAATGTGACTACTAGCTATACCATTTGATGTGATTTCTAGGAAAGCAAAATAAGGCAACTGTTTTAAGTTTTACAGGCAGCACAGTGGCTAAATGGTTAGCACTTCCGCCTGGCAGTACTAGGGTTGTTGGTTTGAATCCCAACCACGGAACCACCTGCCTGGAATTTGCATGTTCTCCCTGTGCCTGCGTGGGTTTCCTCCCACACTCCAATGACATGCTGGTAGGTGAATTGGCTCCTGTCTAAACTGGCTCTAGTATGTGTATGTATGAATGTGAGTTAGGGACCTTAGATTGTACACCCCTTGAGGGGTAGGGACTGATGTGAATGTACAATATATATGTAAAAGCGTTGGAGTAAATTGACAGCTCTATATAAATGAATAAAATAAATAAGTTTTAATAAACAGGCAAAATGATAATTGGTCCATACCTTCATGATGAAGAAGAGAGGGAGCGTGACAAAGACGCTTACAGTTGGGTGGATGAAGGCAGCAGAGCGCCCCAAGACGGACGCGTTCCCCACATGCTTCGTCCATGTGTGATTATCAAACAGGACGCTGATACTCTCCCGGGGCATCAGCTGTGAGACAGTCCAAGCAAAAAGTCACAGTGGGTGAAAGAAAACCAGACAACAACAGTAAAAGCCTAAATGAAAGATATTTATTTTGCTCTGTGCATCATAAATTATTTTTTTGTAATAACATACTTATTTTCACCTTTTTTGTTCATCCTTTCTTGCATCTCAGTACTGTCGATCTCCTGCACCTTTTTTGCAGCCCCTTCCTGTCTACATACACTCCAGTCATGGCTACATGGTATTTTTCAGGGCGGGTTTACTAATGGTGAGAGCAGTGGACCATGACTGTGTAATGTTCAAACAGCCACTTGTAGTCCCCATCAGAAACCCGTATGACAGGGTGACAACATCAGATCACTATTGGGAAAGAGAGGACAGAGTGTTGTCACCCTGTAGCAGGAAGTGCCTAAACAAGGCAGGATCACCAGGGATTAGTTTATGAAAGCTGCAGATTTCAAAAACATTACAAATTACTTTGGAATTATTGTTTATGCAATTTAGTGATTGGGTGGACCTATAGCTGATATAAGACCCCACTCCAAGCATGTGTGTGATACCGTCTATGTAGTATCCTCCTACATAGGTGCTAGGTGTAGATAGTTAGATTTAGTTTGTATTGGTAAATGCACACTGTAATCAGTGTTGCCGTGTTCTGCTAGTCAGGTCTGCTCAGTTTGCTCAGCTGCTGCCAGCCTGATAGCTCCTTCTGCATCCAGAATGCTTGAGAAGTTTCTGGATGATAGGTGTGGAGCTATGCAGATGGAAGCATCAATATTAATTCAGTCCTGGCCTGGCTCTGATGACATTCTGGGTAACTGCATATATTCAGTGAGCACACTGAGTTTTGGGTCTTTTCTCTATAGCAGGTGGTCTCCAAACTTCTAAACATAGGGCCAGTTTACTGTTCATCAGACTTTCGGGGGCCGGACTGTGACCATGGGTAGTAGTAATTGTCCTGGCATCAGAGGGAGTAAAGAACACATATTTGGTATTAGGGGAGGAATAGCGCCCCTTCATTGGTGTAAGTGGGAGCGATAGTGCCCAGTTGTGTCAATAGGAGGAAAACCTATTGTTGGTGTCAGTGGGGGGGAAATAGTGCCCATCAATGGTGTCATTGGTGTCAGTGGGATGAATAGTGCCCCATAGTTGGTGTCAAAGGGATAAATAGCTCCTCATTGTTAATGGCAGTAACGGTAATTATGCCCCATTGTTGATGGGAGGAAAGGAATAATGTTTTGTATCAGTGGAAGGAAAAGTGCCTCGAGAGCCAGATAAAGGCAAGCAAAGGGCCACATCCGTCCCCCGGGCTACAGTTTGGAGACCGCTGCTCTATAAGATAGTTCCAGCCTGGGAGAGGGCACAGTGCCCTCCCAGGCAACTACTGCTGTGCGGCTTTAGGAGGGCCCTGAATACTGAGAATACAAGTAAATGACATCACATGCACAGGGAGAGAATACAAGTAAATGACATCACATGCACAGGGAGAGAATACAAGTAAATGACATCACATGCACAGGGAGAAAATACAAGTAAATGACATCACATGCACAGGGAGAGAATACAAGTAAATGACATCACATGCACAGGGAGAGAATACAAGTAAATGACATCACATGCACATGGAGAGAATACAAGTAAATGACACTCACATGCACAGGGAGAGAATACAAGTAATGACATCACATGCACAGGAGAGAGAATACAAGTAAATGACATCACATGCACAGGGAGAGAATACAAGTAAATGACATCACATGCACAGGGAGAGAATACAAGTAAATGACATCACATGCACAGGGAGAGAATACAAGTAAATACAAGTAATGACATCATATCACACACAGGGGGAGAGAATACAAGTAATGACATCACATGCACAGGGAGAGAATACAAGTGAATACTATCACACAGATTTATCTCTGGGAGGAAAGGCTAAATTCTAATAACAGCATAAGTGTGGAGATGCATATTACTACAACTGACCATACATGACTGGTTCACATTAAAGTCATAAAAGGCAGCATAAGCCCCACCCCTGCACATACACCAGTCCATCACACAGGGTATAAAGGCTAGTCTTCCTATGGAAAGGATTACCAACAGTGGAGCCCTTTGCTTCTTAGAGTCTCAAGATCAAAAACCCTTACCTCACCCGCCATGAACTGCCCAAATCCTGGAGGGAAGGTGAGGGTCGCTATGCAGAACGTGATCACCGCCGGATAGATGAATCGACTTTGTGGGGGGAAAGGAAAATAGGAAATGATTAATTGTGTGAATTTATAAAACACTGGACAGTATTATTTCATGACTGAGCACTATTAAAGCAACATGTAAAATCAGCCTGTGAACATTCAGAAAAAATAGGGGTGTATTTATAAATGAATTGCATAGCTGTTCATTCATTGAATCTGCATGGAAATTTGTTTTGTGTACATGTTGAATGCACTCAAGCTATATCCTCTGCAGATTGAATGTTCTTTATTGAAAACAATACATTGTGAATGGTGAAAATACCGCACTATGGCCAATAGATGGTGCTGAGTATCATAGGAAATGGGTATGGTACTCATCTCCACCTAGTGGCCATAATGCTGTATTTTTCCTATTCATGTAGTTTTTTTTTTTAATGAATAGCATTTGATCAGCTGAAAACAAAATAGATTTATTGGACTTTCATTGTTTCCACGGGGCTCTTATTCCCTCCACACTTCTTGGACTATTCCAGGATCCCCCAATTGTACCCCGGCTGCCTCTAAAATTCAGATCTGTAGCTTTATCCTCCCAGAAAAGTAGTGCAAAAACTTTTTTTTTTATTGTTATTTAGACTTGATTAAGAGGTCACCCATTTAAATTAATGTGTTTTGATTTGAAAAGTGACTTAATGTGTCGCAGTGTGAACTGGGGCTTATAAAGGGCCCTGCAGTGGGAGTACAGGTCCCTGTGATCAATGGAAAAGGGCCCTAGGCTCAGAGGGAAGGGACCCAGGACTGATGGAATTCTCTGGGACCAATGGAAAGGGGCTCAACAATCAGGGGGGCCCTTCATGGTTTCTTGCACTGAAGCCGTGAAGGATCTAGTTATGCCTCTGCAGTGTCCCGAAGAGTAGGGAGTGAAAACCCTGTCTGGGTGTTTTTGTGCAACCTGTGTATTCCATTTGATAGATTTCCCTATCACTTCCTGTCTTGTACACACAACAAGAAGTAATAGAAAATATCCAAAGAAGCGGAGTTCTCCTCTTAGACAATTGTCAGCAGAAGAGGTGTCCCCATTGGAAGATTTCCCCTTTATCAATGTGCTGACGACAACGCCAAATTTTGGATTTTCCTCCATTTTGGGGTGTATTTCTGAAAAAAAAATGCAGAGCTATTTGTCCTGTGAAATTTTTTTTACTAGATTTACAGATTTTACTAGACTATTTTCTTTCCAGGTTGCAAGTTTTTCATTCATACGGAATAAAGTGACTCAGAAAAATACAGCATCATAGCCACTATCTGGAGAGGACAGAAAGGAGAGATGGAGAAAGAGAGGATAGTAAGTATTCATTTCCTATGATCACCAGCTCCACCTATTGGCCATAATGAGATATTTTCCTGATTCACTCTATCTGCATAAATGAAAAACAAATCTATACTGGCCAAGGGTGCGTTTCCCTACGCACCATCAGGCCAATTGATGAATCTAAAATATAACATTTATTCAAATATATAAAAAATGTATGCTCAACTGTAATTAATGTAGCAGATATAAGAAGCGTCACAGAAAATGCTAAATAAATCAAACAATAAGCAGCACCTCTAACCAAAAAAGGTAAAATGGTGTACAAATAAAACGTGCGCTAATTATTCACAAAACATGCAAGGATAAATAATAAAAATAAATGAATTCATAAATATAAACATAAGTCCAGCCACCATAAACAGTGATAGTCCAATATCAACGTAATGTCAATCTTGAAAACAAACCCCGTGTGCAAATCCGACACCAGATGAAATGAATGCACTCACCAGAGCTATATGCTGATTATATTATAAACCAGCATGATAGCACTTTGCTCTGGGAGCGATGATCTGCAGGATATCCCAGGAGAGGAACAGCAACCAATAGTGATCCAATCAGCACATATGGAACAGCTAAGCAGCAAATGGTCTTCCAATAACATGGGCAAAGCTCGAGGAATAAGAAGAGATATGATGGTGCAGGACGTTTAAAACCAGTAAAATTTTATTAGTAAAGTATTGCACTCACAAAGAAGGTGTGTCTAGCCGACACCAGCAATGGCAGCCTCTAAAATGCCACATCCACAAGGGAAAAACCAAGGGACGGACCTCCTGCACCGCGATCAACACAGCCGACAGCTGGGAGGAACGTTCCAACGGCACGTCCACTAGGCCAGGCCCAGTGCAATACTTTACTAATAAAATTTTACTGGTTTTAAACGTCCTGCACCATTATATCTCTTCTTATTCCTTAGCTGTTCCATATGTGCTGATTGGATCACTATTGGTTGCTGTTCCTCTCCTGGGATATCCTGCAGATCATCGCTCCCAGAGCAAAATGCTATCATGCTGGTTTATAATATAATCAGCATATAGCTCTGGTGAGTGCATTCATTTCATCTGGTGTCGGATTTGCACATGGGTGTTTGTTTTCAAGATTGACATTAAGTTGATATCGGGTTATCACTGTTTATGGTGGCTGGACTTATGTTTATATTTATTAATTCATTTATTTTTATTATTTATCCTTGCATGTTTTGTGAATAATTAGCGCACTTTTTATTTGTACACCAACTGTAATTGATACCTATTGGAGCGGAATATACTGCGCACAACAATATGACTGGATACCATTGTAAATATTTACCTTACATCCAAACGGTTAATAACACCAGACCAAATCGAATACCATACCATTTTAGATGAAATGACGGCATCTCCTAGATTGTAAACTCAAAAGAGCAGGGCCCTCGATCCCCTCATGTTTTGCATTGTATTGGTATTGTTCTGTCACATGTTCTGTCCCCCTTTGTAATGTACAGCGCTGAGTGAACTATTGGCGCTTTATAAATACTGTATAATAATAATAATAATAATACAAAGAGGCATTGTAGTTTGATCATAAGCCTGTCAACTTGAATATATAAACTCTGTTAAGGAAATGGAGTTACCCCATGAAAAAAAAACTAACTGGATAGTATAATCTATCTTGTTACAGATATGTAATACAGGTACACTCATCCACAGGCTAAAATGTCAGCCTCTCTATGGATAAGCCCCATACATCACCATATCCATCAAAAATACCTCACTGTCTTGAGGAATGCAAATGGTGCACTGTAAAAACGCAGTACAGACCTTTCCAAAAAAAAGGGGGAGAGGAGAGAGGAGGAGTGAATACCATGCCTTCCTCTGGATCAACTGTGGGTATAGGATTATAACTTTTTTTTTATTTCTATGGTTGAACTGGATGGACTTTTGTTTTTTTTTCAGACTAACTATGTACCTATGTAACCATGTGCATTCAAAAAGTGCTCCCAAAAAAGGAAAAGAAAAAAACTCTACATGATTTGCTCCAGAAAACAGAGCTTCTTCAGGAGTATAAATGAAAAACAATCGACCTGGAGAGAAAATAGCCTAATAACATTCATTCCCCCTCCTCCCCACAATTGTGCATGCACTTTCCCAGACAAATACTGTAGCTCTGCAGATTTTTGCTCACCAGGACAGAGTGAATCTCTCCACGGGAGACACAGACAGCAATAAAAACCTGGCGGGGGCTCTGCCCATTTCCTACTCCATCTATCCAATTAAAAAATGGCTTGAAATAAACGGTAATTATATTTTTGTTTTTATATATTTTTTTTCTTTTTTTTATTGTATCTTACTTTTTTTTGTCTGTAAAGTCTCCACATAACGTGATTATATCCCATTCCGTCAATCCCGGGTTCCATAAACGTTGCACACAGTTCCAATGGTGACATTTTCATATACAGGATTAATAATGTTTCTCCTCGGAATGTGAGGCTTCTCATGTTTTATTTAGCATTCCCTGAATTTTAAATGAAAACTAATTAAGCAGCCAGTAATTGTTCTGGAAGGGAAGGAGGGGAAGACTTTCTGGCTTACAATGACATTTTCAGGGATTGCTAAAAATAAAATGAAAGTTATGTCACACAATAGAGCGGAGGCGGGTATTTAGGAATATGAACGCTGACGTTTTTGTTGAAACGAAAAACACTATTTTTGTGAACGTATACAGTTGTTTGATTTTTTTGAAGGTCGTAGGAGTTCGGCAAAGGCAGGAGTCAAAAAAGTTAAGAAAAATTAGCTTTTGAGATTTTTTTTTTTTAGCATGTCATAACTCCAAAGAACTTTACAGAAACCAATAATTTATCATATAGCGACCAACAAGAGATCATTTTTATTATTCAGCCTCCTAGCACCCATGTAATGTATTTGTGTGACCTCAAAGAGGGTGGGCTTGAATACCCACATGCCACACATATGCATCAATGCAGCTGAGATTTGGTTTAGAAAGCACTCTCGCTGTGCGCTCCCAGCACAGTGACTGAGCTCTTGGTCTCTAACAATGATCGGGATCTGTTACTGATCATGTGGCCATTGTGACAGCCAATCGCAGTGGACACATGATCAGGTAGTCCTTTCCGCCCTTGGGTATAAAGACCCCCTTAACCGCTTAACGACCACCCTAGAGCAGATATACGGCTACAGGACGGCACCTGTGCGCAGAATCACGTATATATGTAATTCTGTACTTCCAGGTAGGGGGCGCGCACGAGCGCCCTACCCACGCCACCATTCGCGGCCACGGATGTCAATCACTGGGTAGTGGCCGGTAATTACCCGCCGGCGCCCCGTGATTACCCAGCATCTCCGATTACAAATTGTGTACAAACAATCTTCCTTCCTGTCAGCTTGAACACACTGCTCAGGATCGCTGTGCACAGTACAGCCATCCCGAGCAGTGTGCTTACACCCCTCCCCCACACCCCCTGTAAAACACTCCGAGCACACAGTTAACCCTTTGATTGCCCCTCACATTAACCCCTTCCTGCCCAGTGCCATTAATACAGTGTCAGTGCTTTTTTTTTAGTGACACCAAGTTAGTCCCCCCCCCAGTGTCAGAATGTCCGCCGCAGTCCCACTAAAAGTCGCTGATCGCTGCCATTACTAGTACAAAAAAAAATCCTATTATCTATACCACCATTTGTA